ATCGGCCGAGGTAACTAGTCCGGTCAGACGAGCTACCTCAGCCTCTAGCTCGGATGTTTTCTGGTAGGACTCCTTTAGTTCGGTTGTTTTTTCTTCAACCTCTGCCATGGCTTGCCTCGTTGTGTTCCTGAGCTCCAACACCTTTTTGTGCGCAATTTGGCCCTTTTGCACGGCCTAAAAAAGAAACTAATGACAAAACCGAACAGAAAGTTGGTGATATTTAGAGAGACAAGAAGAACAACTTACCAGGATCATTGATTTTGTGGCCGAGCGGATGGCCCTTAGCTCGGTCAAGTTCTTATGGTGCTCCATGTCGGCTGGGAGGCACATACTCTTGGCAAGGTTGAAAGCCATCAAATGGTCTTTTTCAGCGACAACTGAATCAGTGTCCTGAATATCACGGTTCTGAAAAGTCAATTTGGGTGCCCATTTGGAAGAGCTAGCACGGTCGGCGTGCTCCGGTTGCGAGCTCGGTGGCGAGCTTGGTGGCAGAGTGATTTCGTCTTCATCAACTAAGTGTTGTTCGGTCTGGGAAGTACGGGCGCGCTTAGTTCGACGTAATGAGGAGGGTTATTGTGATGGTAGGGCCACCACGGTTTCTTGTGTTTGGTTTGGTGGTGGTACCTCGACCTTGTTTGTCTCGGTCAAGAGGGCCCTGACTCTGTTTCTCTTGGCCATTTCTTCTTCAGCGGTCAGTGGGATTAGTCTAATTTGTGGCAAGGTTGGGTCTGGTTCGGGGGCGTCCTCCAACAGAAAGTCAGTTACTCTGGCTTTTCGGTGACCGCTGTAACGGTATGTCGGCTCAAAATTAAGAAGTTTGGCCCAACTTCTTTCTGGAAAACGTAGTGCGGCGCGAAGTATGTTCAGGTTGGGGTAACTATACAAAGGTTGAAGATGGGCTGAATCTGCATAATGAAAACAACTGTTGGTTCGGTTCAAGAGCAAGTAAGCGAAATAAAGAGAAGCGTGAAAAGTGACCGAAGTAAAGTATACCAGGGATTCCTTTATTCCAATTTATACTTCAGCCTGAGATCTGAGCTTGGTGGTCTTCAAAATTCCCAGATACCCAGAAAAAATCGTCATCGTTTAAGTCTTTATCCGGCGTATCTTTTATTATTTTTTCTCTGCAACGACGTATCCTAAGGTAGTAGACCCAGCCGTCATCTTTGGAGCCAATGGAGTATTGGTGGAATATTTCTGCTAGACCGAGGTTAAGACCGGCTCGGCGGTTTAGTTCGGCTATTCCCATTATTATACGGTAAGAATTGGTGGAAAGCTGAGTTGGGCATATTCTGGTTTGTCTTAGGAATTCACAAATCAAGGGTTGAACGGGGAATCTTAGTCCGGTTTCTATTATTGATAGGAGGGTGAAAGGTACATAGCCCTTTTTTCCCCATGGAACGATATCTTGTTCGGCCAGAATGAGTTGGACGTCGTCAGGGATGTTGTAATCCCTTCAGAATTCGGCCAGGCCACCAGGGGTTTCTACCAAAAACCTATACTTCCCCATTTATTTTTTAAGTTATGGATAAATTAGTTCAGTCGCAAAATTGTGCTCAGTAGCTCGGTTGAGCGCGCAGTGGAGTGCCTGGGCAACCTAAGTCTGCAAAGTGGAAACAAATGGGTTAAACACAGATCATTGGACCGTGATACAAAATAAATGCAAGAATAGGAGTCCTACTTCGGCTATGTAGGATGCTACAGGTTCTGTCTCGGTTTCAACAAGATGCTTGGTAGCTCGGATTGAGCAAGGGGTTCGATAGCTTGGTCTTGGCGAGCGATTCGTTATCTCGATTAAAGAAAAGGCTCTGTTAGACCGGTTGAGCCTCTAGGGGCAGCTTTCTGAGTTCGGTCTAAAAACTTAGAAAGCTGGCTTAGCCCCAAAGACCTAGCTCGGTCGAAAGATAAGGTTTCCAGTATGCTATGTTCAGACTTAGTTCGGTTCGTTTATCCCGGCTGAGGTAAATCAGAGGATGGTTTGACTTATTGAAATTGCTAGTATGAATATGAAGTGCTAGCTCGGTCGTATAGTTAGATTAGCGTGGCATCAACTACAAACTACTTTTTAGTTCGGTTATATTGTAATTTTGGATCAAACACAGTGTTCTATAGACTACTTCATGAAGTTCTAGTGGTTCTTAAAAGGTTTTTTTCCAGAAAAATGCAGAAACTAGCAGGAAAAAGTGTTTTTCAAACATAGTATGCTATGGATTAAACAAAAGCAGAAACAAAAATAGAGAAACAGATTTATGATGCTTACCAGGTCCAGAGGCACAAGAAGATGGAAGTGGAAGTAGCAACAATAGCAAGAACACGCAGTTCTTCGAAATACAAAAAACAGTAAGAGCTTAGAAGAGAGAAAGAGAGAAAGAGAGAGAAGAGCTTGAAACAGTAAAATGATTGATGAGGGTGATTCAAAGGACGAAAGTGTTGTTTTGGGATATAGGAAGGACGAAAACGCGCAGGACTGTTCAAATTTTGCGGAGTACGAGGGCGGCGCGACAGCTGCAGTAAGCCAATACCAGTATGCCACGTGTCATAGGGATGAGAATCGATTCAGTTTCTGTGATTGAAGGGACGTTGTGACCGGACAAGCACAACTCGGCTTAAGTTTAGCCCGGTTGGGAGGGTTAAAAGTATATAGCTCGGCTTTAAAGGCTTCAGAGTTTTAGCTTGGCTGGAAAGGCTAAAGGGTTTTTTAGCTCGACTGAAAAGGTAAAACTTTAGCCCGGTTTATTGACAGGTAATCCCTATCATGCTACGCAGATGGAATTAAGGGGCAATTGAGAGGGTAATTTATATACGAATTGGACTGAGCTGGGCCTTTATGGGCCTCAGTACGAAGGGCTGAGTAAAGAGGTCATAAAGTTACTCCGGTCTTGAAGAGGCTTAAAGTTAGCCCGGTCTCAAGCCCAGAAGGTAGACCGGTCCGAGAGACTCTTGATGTTAGTCCGGTCGAAGGACGCTTTGTAGTTAGACCGGTTTAAAGATGCTTTGAACTTATACCGGTCATGGCGCAGTGAAACAAGATTGGTCTAAACCTTGACAAAAGATAGTTCGGTTTTGGGCATACATGGTTTGTTGAAAACTATGGATAGAGAACTGAACTAGGTATGGTTCGGCTAAGCATAGTCGTGATTACTTCGTCGTATGGTAGGTCGGCCATGGAAGAACCATCTCACTTGGTTTAAGCAGTGAGGGGGGTTGAAGAATAAACATTATCCTTCAGGAGTATGAATCCTAGGAGGACTCTGCATGGAGGAGTAAAAGTCCTACTAGGATTATGCCACGCAAAACCTATAAAAGCTCACAAACATCACTTATGGAGGGGTAACACAACTTTGATTCTCGAATTCACAGAGCTTCTTGTCTGTTTGTCTGTTTTTCTGACTTAGGCATCGGAGGGGTTTCCGGCACACACCCGCCGGCTAGCTCACGTTTGTGTTTTCAGGGAGTAAAGCGACGTCGTACGGAGAAGCGCAGACTTGATCAACAGGATTATACGATAAGGTTTATTTCTTTCCCGTACTTTCAATCCAACAATGTTGGATACAAAAATGATTTGCAAATCTTATAATAAAATAATAATAATAATAATGTGTAGATGATAATATTTTTCATGAAGATAATATTAACTATTTTGATATTGAATGAAAGAATTACAAAAGTTACCGCATTCTTTATGAATATAATTATATAAAAATTTTGTTTTAATATCTACTCACGTTATATATATATATATATTTTTTTTTTTTTCAGGTGTTTCCACCATTTTATATCATTGGAGTATTTGGCAATGTATTTTTTGTTTTCTTTATTTTAATTTATAATATTATTTTTAAATAAGGAACTAATAAAGACAAGAATTAGTCGGCCTTATTTGGGATAACTTAAAAAATCAAAAAATTACTAAAAAAATTAAAAAATTCATACTATTCAAGAGTAGCTTGTAGGGGAAGCTTAGAAGGCAAAATTATTATTTTGCCCTTTGAATGCAACTACTCAAAAGTCAAAAAGTTAAGAGTCAAAAACTCAACAGAATAGAATGGTCATTTTAATTTTATTATAATATTTTATTACACATCTTTTTATAAAAAATTAAAAAGTTATCAAAAATATATATCTTTTTTTTCTCTATTTTTTTAACCAAAAAATCAAAAAATATACTTAAAATAGTATATCCTAAACAACCACTAAAACAATGATGAAGAACCTGTGTTAATATTTTCTCTTTTTTTATGAACAGAAAAATTCCAATTAAACTGGAATTGAAAGAAAGACAAATGACAAGAACTCAAGGAGGATGAGATACTCCATCCAACGGTGAGAAATCTCATATACAGGCACAGGTAGTCAAATAAGCTGGCCTATTACACCTTTGGATTACACTTATAATAAAATATCACACACTAATTAAAAGATAAAAAAATTTCATAATATTTTTTTCATAATCCCTAACATTACTCTTAGCTATTTTGGGATGCGGCAACTTCACATAGCTTTGGGATAAATTAAAAAAAGTTAAAAAGTTAAAAATTTATTAAAAAAATTAAAAATTTTAAATTATTTAAGGGTAACTTGTGAGGGAAAGCCACTAAAGTAAAATTATTAGTTTGTCTTTTGAATTCAAAAAGCTAAAAGTCAAAAAGTTAAAAGGATAAAATAGTCATTTGATTTTATTGTAATATTTTATTACACATCTTTTATAAAAAATTTAAAAATTATTCCAAATATACATTTTTTTTCTCTATTTTTTTAATCAAAAAATACACCTACACAGCACATCTCAACAACTACTTAGCTATTTTGGGAAGAGCTAAAAACGCTAGCTTTTGATTTTTTATCTATTTTTGGTCACATCACTTCTCACATTTTTTATTTACAAAAAGACAAAATAAATTAAAAAAATTAATTTTTTACTAACTTTTCAAAACAATCCAATATCCTTAAGAATATATAACTGCACATTCCAGGGAAACATTTTCCGAAACACACAACTGAATAACTTTCTTATTTTATTTTTTCAATCCTTGCAAAATGCTCTTAAAACTCTCAAAAATAATAATACATTAGTAGTAAAATGTCAAATAACAATTATACATAAACAGATTTCTTATCAAATTTTTTTTATCACTAGACTTAAAAATATAAATCACACATGTAAACATTAATATAAATCTTATTACATTCGTATCCAATGATAAGAAAATCAAATTTTAAAAAAAAAATCTCAATTTTTGAAGAGTATTTTTCTATTTTCTGTGGACTTGGAAACTAAAACAAGTGGTCAATAATGGAAGACATAGACATTGTACTCCACAACAGCATCACCACTGGTGAAGTTAACCGAGTGAGTCTCGGCATGAGCATACCCTCTTGCAAATCTGAAAAGTCCACTCCCTCCGACCACCGGCAACTCTCTCACCGTCGAAAGCACAGTGTTTCGACCCAAAATACTAAGATTGCTTCCATTGTACTTCCCTTCTGTGAAAGCAAAGTTAAGAACCATCAAGAAACCTAACTCATTCAGTGATGCAGAGGCATAGATTCCCTGTGCTCTTCCCACTTGTTTGGAGCTCAGTTCAGGCTTTATTGTCAACGGGTCGTCCATCATGACCACGGCTCCGAAAAAGGTTGGGGATTTGTTTGTCATAGGAGCCTCTGCAACTCGGATTGCGGTTGCGTTTTTGCCGGAGACGATGTCGTGGAAGTAGAAGTGGAGGTGGCTGAGCTTTTCTTTTTTGAGCCCTAGTTTTTTCTGGGAGAGGTTTCTTGAGAATTCTTGAGCTTTTGTCGCTATGAGGAGGGAGAAGAAGAAGATGGTGAAGCTGGTGGAGGTGACGTTTGGGATGGCTTTGGCCATGGTGGGGAAATAAAGGGTGGTAAGGTTTTCAAGGAAGAAAAGAGGTGGAGGACCAAATGGAATTGGGTGTTGCTTTATAGTGAAATTTATCAATCAACCATTTAACAAGGGCATCCCAAAAAAAATGTATATATATTTAAAAAAGAAAAAATTGCCAGTAAATTCAAGTTGAGGAGTGTGTTAAACATTAAATCAAAAAATTAATCTTATTTATTAAGAAAGACACGTTGAAAAGTAGTCAAAAATGAGGCAATATGGATGGCACTGAAGTGTGACAAATAAGTGTAAAAAATGAGGCAATGGATGGCAGTGTAGTGCGACAAATAAGTGATATTAAACAGATAAATTAATAGATAAGTGACAAGTATACAAATAGTGTGACATTTGAATACATAGTAGCACAAATATGTGATACGTGTACAAATAATGAGATATTTAAACAAATAAATGATACTTGAACAAATAGACAAGTTAATAAATTTTGAACAGAGAGATTGTTTTTTAGACAAATAATATTCTTTTAGCGTAAAAAAAATTTAAACTTGGCCTATTGACTCAAGAGTTCCAGGAACCTCTCACATGAGTGTTTTTTAAATAAATATTTAAAAAATTAAATAGTTAAAATTTATTTTAAATATAAGTCTCATTTTATAGAATTAAATCTAAATCCTACACAAAAATTCTAAGTGACTTCTTGACATTTTCTGGTGTTCTAGCTTTATTGTTAACCAATTGGGTTCTAGATGGTCAGATCCATAACCCTCCCAACAAGTTAGAAGTCTTTGGTCAGACGACCTAAAAGTTATTGGTTCGATCATTAACGGTATGGTTTAAAATTCTATTTTGCATTGTTGATTGAGAGAACATAGGACTTTTAAGTATGTTAATTACATACTATATATGAAACAAAAAAATTACATGTAGTTGGAGATTAATCAGAACGAAATCACACACTTCCATGAAAAAAATAAATAAATAAATTTACAGACACACATGAGAAAGGAAAAGTTTTATAAATTTTTTTAATTTGTACAATATTATTCAATTTTATAGAATATTTTGGAATGTAAGTTAAAAGTTGATTTTTTTGACTTTCTTTTTAAAAAAACATATAAAAAAGTTGAGAAGAGATTTAACTTAAAAAAGTTAAAAAATTAACTTTTAACCTACTTACTAAAATGTGATATGTCTTTAGGATATTGGTTTGGTAAATCCTACATTTCAATTATTATTATTATTATTATTATTATTTAAAACATTGGTGGGAGAGAATCAAAATTGTGACCTCCCAAGGAGGAACACACATTTTGGCAACTGTATAAGCCATTTAGCTTTCATGTTTTTGTACATCAATAATAACAAATCAAACAATATCTAGTACTCAAATTTAATGATTGAAGCATTACTGTCACCAAATATACAAAATGTGTCACTCAAATTTGTAGCAATAATAATTTGTATAATTTTTGGCGAAATCAATTTTTGAGTATGGACTACGGTCAAGTTTGGCGTGAATTACAAGCACAAATTATGAAATAAGAGAGGTTCCAAAGAGAATAGCCATATGCTCCTTAAAATATAAAGTTTGGTCTATTCTCTATTCTCTCTCTTTTCTTTTTCATTTTTTCTTTTTTTTTCCCTTTGAAAATTCAAGCTTTGCATGGAAAACATGTATGTATAGGGCCCAATTGGAAAGTTGGCTATTTTAATTGTCTTTTACACTTTTTGATTATTTTAACCTTGTTAAAAAGTTGTATTTGGAAAGTTGATTTTTTTTTTTAATTTTTATAGTTAATTTGATAGTTTTTAAAAAAAAATGAAATAATTATGATTTAAATATGTCGTTTTGTCTTATTAATTATTTTAATTTATTTTATCTTTATTGATTATTTTAACTAAAAAAATTATTGCCAAACATGAGCTTAAGGTTAGGTGACATGAATTTGAGTGTAGCCGATCTTTGACAGTAAGATTTTATATAAAAATGATTAAGAAAAAAAAAAAGAGAGAGAGAGAGAGAGTGAAATTAGGTTATGTTTGATTTGATTTTCAAAAAGTAGCATTAGAAACTTTTTCCAAAAATTTAAAAATTAAATTGGTGAAATAAATAAAAATAATGAAAAACACTTATCATTTTTATATAATTTTATTTTTTGGGAGGACAAAAATAATTTTTTAAATTTTAAAATAATATTTTTATATTTCTTTTTATCAAATTAGTTTCCATTTTTTCAAAAAAAAATCTAAAACACAAACCAAACAAGGCCTGGGCCTTTTAATTTTATTTTATTTTTTGTTATTTCTTATATATTTTCAACAATAATAAGTTCAAAAATGACATTTTCCATTGTTCTGATTTAGCAGATAATTTGGAACTCATTCATCAGTTTTTTGCATACCCCCAAAAAAAAAAAAAAAAAATCAACAAGATTGGAAAAACGTAAAGCAGTTCCTGGACTTTCATTTTTCCAAAATTAATTAATTAAGTAGTGTGCATCAAAAGAATTAGATAAATAATATAAATTGTAGGATCGAGTGCTTTCGATCTTTTTGTTTTTACTTTGCCCCTACTCAAAGAATGTGTTACTTTTTTTTTATTGATTCACAATCATAAGACATCAAAGTTTTTTATTTTTAGAATCCATATTTTTGTAGTTGTGTTTAGTTTTGATTACGAATAATAGAAGGAACAGCTAGAGTTATATGAATAATTTGGAAAGAAAAAATTGGAAAAAGCCTCAACCTGATAATTTAAACTTTTAATTTTTTGTTTTATGTAATTCAATTTTTTTTTTAAATATTTATTTGAGTAAAGGGTAAATCTCATAAAGTATACACAAAGATGCATAGTGGTAGGACAAAGAGTTCCATTTGAATAGCTAAAGGCTAAAGCAAATCACACTAATTTTCTTTCAACAACTAAAGGGTAATCCCGAAAAATGCTTCGGATCGATCCCCAGTGAAGTGGCGCGATATGATTGGATAAAAAAAAAATTGTTTTATTTATTTATTTATTTTTTTTAAGTTTCAGCCAGGCTCCACCTCACTGGGGGTGCGACCCCCACTGGGGGTCTGCAGCAACTCTCGGGTAATCCCTATCTCTTTTTCTAACTTTTGACCATTAAAATGAATTTAAATTTTATGAAAAGGAGCTCTAAGAGCATTCATATCAAATTCTTTAATTTTTTAGTCAAATTAAAGTTGTTTCATTATTTTAGCTACTCATCTTTTAGCACCTACTGCATCAAACTCTTTATTTTAACTTATTCTTATTAAAATTATTTTCTTATTGTGTTTCTTAGTCTTTCTTTTTTTATTAAATTGATAAGTTATCAACCAAATAATTCTTAAAAAAAGAAAAAAAAAAATATTGCCGTTGATTGGTCGGACTTCCAGGCAGACATCCGATAACACACAAGTAGTGATAAACAGTGTCTCACTTGTTGTAACGAGTTACTGTAATGTTCGTAAATTTTGATGAGCTACTAGCAAGTTTAATGCGATTGATTTTTTTAAGTTATTAAGCCTCCGTTTGGGAAGTGGGTTGGCTTTTTGGCTATTTTAGCCTGGGCTATTTTAGCCTGGTTTGGGAAGGGCTTTTTTGATTTTTTTTGTGAGAGAGGATTGTAATGATTATGGGTTGAATTTGATGTTTTGTTTTTTGTGGCTAAAATAGCCTATTTTGTTTTTTGTGGCTATTTTAGCCCCAAATCAAGTTCCCAAACAATGCCTAACTAAAAAATAAGTTTGAAGAGTTTGATGCAGATGCTCTAAATAACAAGTTTAATGCGATTGATTTTTTGAAGTTATTAACTAAAAAATAAGTTTGAAGAGCTAAATACAAATGCTCTAAATAGGTGTTATCTAACCAACTCGTCTAGTTTTTGTTTAGATGAAAACCAACTGGGCTAGTTTAATTGTTCATTGTCATAATTTTTGTCCCTGAAAAAAGATTAAAAAAATATTCAGCTTGTTTGTTTTTATTTTTTAAAAAATACTTTTTAAAAAATTCTACTTTCTTATTTTTTGTGTTTTTTTGTTTTTACTGAATTTTTTTAATATTTTCAATAATTTTTTTACTTTTTAGACACACCTAACATAAATACACCTAAAAAGTAAAAAAATTGTAAAAAAAAATCATTTAAAAATTCACTAAATATAAAAAATATAAAAAAATACAAGAATTCAGTATATTTTTTTGTATTTTTATGTATTTATTAATTTTTTAAAATATTTTTTCACAAATTTTTTACTTTTTAGATACATCTAGGTAACGTATATCTAAAAAAATAAAAAAAATATTTAAATTTTAAAAATATTCACTAAAAAAAACACAAAATTAAAAAATTTAATTTTTAAAAAATTTAATTTAAAAAACTCAAACCAAACCGACTGACTATTTCTTCTAATGAGTTCCTGCTAGTATGAGTTATTTTCCGCGTCAGTGGTTGGTATTGATTGTTGGACTTATAAAAATATAAAAATAATCTCTGACAATTAATTAAAAAAAAATGCTATCTTGTCTTTCAGTCACCAAATCTTTTTATTTATTTGTTTATTTTTGTGATTTCTTTTTTTTTTTTTTTGTCATTAGGAAAAACACAAAAAGCTCGTGTTGCCAAATCATTTTAATTAAAAGAAATGATATAAAAACCATCAGTGTTTTTTTAATTATTATTATTTTTTAAATGAGAAAAATAATAACACAACTCAAATTACTCTATGAGAGTAGTAATATTAGAAATACAAAATCAAATACAAAATGAAACTCAATCCTCTCAAAAGGTGTAGGTTCTATATGTGAGTTCCACACATGTTCATCTCATCCTTTATGAGAGGATTGTGTCTCATTTTGTATTTAATTTCTGTGCACATAGACTTACTCCGGAAGTAAGAATGCTGTTGTGAACAACTCACAGTAGCTTCATGTAGTGTTCCGGTAGAGGTTTTTCCCGAGTTTTTTTTTTTATAAAATGAACCGTTCATATTATAGGATTCGTTGATTAGATCACCTATACAAAAAATAAATTAATTAAACATCTATAACTCTGTAACAAGAGCATATTTATTTTT